AGAGGGCTGGCGGGACAAGTCACAGCAGTTCAGGGGCAGATAAGACTCCTCTCAGGGCTGGAGTGGAGGGGCCACCGAGGGGTCATAACACGCTTATCTTCCAACCCAGCTACTGGCGGAGCGGCATTGTGGGAACTCCCTGCATGACACGTGTGGGCAGAGGTGGCGGCTGGGCCCACCGTCAGGGAGGGGAGGGGTGAATGGGGGCGTCGGCCCCTCCCCTTCTCAGGAGGTGGGGACAGGGCTTAACGGCTGCCTAGGTTTGGAGCACCTTGTGGTGGGATTTTAGGCAGGTGGAGATATTGATGTTTCAGGGAGGGGCTGTTCTCAGCGCTGCAGCACCCATGTCCCCCATCCAGCTGCACCGCAAGGGGCCTGGCCTTGGCTGCCTTGGTGGCAGGGACTGGGCCTCTACTCCCCCAGCCCCTGCCCGGGCTGGGTGTCTAAGCAGGTGAAGAGATACAACTGAGAGAGAACTGCAGGACCCCAGGCCCTAAGTGCCCCCCCCCACCCCGCCTGTTCCTCTGTGCTTTGAGGACTGTGGTTTTCATGCTGCCACCTGACCAGGCACACAGGCGAGCGTCTTGGGTCCTGGGGCCTTGTTGGCCGAGGCCCACTGTCCTCCACCTGCGTGGGCCCACTGCAGGCTCCTCCACTGGGGCAGGGGGGCCGCAGGACCCTGGCGCGGGTTAACCAGCACGGGGCGTGGGGTCTCCAGCACCTCCGCCTGCTGGAACCGCCCTCATCTTGCCTCCTGCCCAGTCCTGTGCCACGTGGTTGTTATTTTAATATTGGTCTTTAAATCACCATTTTAAGCCACTGAGTACACTTATTTGGAAAGGAGCCATGTATCCCTGCAAGTGAAAAGAGGCTGGGCTCCAGGGCCCCGAGAACCAGACCCCAGCGCTCCCCGTTCCAGAAGAGCGACTCTCCTGCCCCGGGCCCTGACTGTGGCTGCCGGGCCTCCCGCAGAGGCGGGTCTGTGTCTTCCCATCTGAGCACTCCCGCCCCGCACCATGTATTTCCCCACCCCAGCCCCGCGCCCCACCATCCCTGACGACCACGCGCGCCCCGGGTTCCCACCCCGTGCATTTCCACACGTACCCCCGCTCTGCGCCTCCTCCCACGAGTGCGCCCCCCAAGCCAAGCACGCACGGCCCGGGCCCCACCCAGCATATTTCCATACACCCTGCGCCCCCTCCCACGAGTGCGTCCCTCCCTTTGCCAGACGAGCAAGCGCGGCCACATCTGCACCCGGCCTGATCCCCACCCTGTGTTCCCCAGATTCCACGCCCGAGCACGCAAGGCCTGGGGCCCCGCCCCGCACACCCGAGCACTCACCAGTCCTGGGTGCTGCTGGGTCTTCGCGGCGCACGCGCTCAGGCCCAGGGATGGGGGGGCGGGGGCGTTCCTGACGGACGCCGGCGTGCAGTGAATAAAGTCGTTGTGCAACCTCGGCTGCCCCGGCCCAAGTGACGGGCCAGGAGCGGGAGGCGACGCTGCCTGTGCCTCGCGCCCAGGTTTGGCCCCCTGCGTGGCTGCAGGATGGAGAGGCTCTCGGGCTGGACTGCGTCTGTGACCCAGGCCTCTGCAGGGGGAGTGCAGGGGTGGGCTACGCGCTACACCTTCTGGCTCAGCCCCCTCACTAGCTTTGATCTCTCAAATTCCCCTCCCAATGGAGGCTGAGACGGATGGAGACCTAGGCACCGACAGTGGGGCCCGAGGACTGCTCCCCGGGGTTTCTGGGCCTGGGATCACCCCAAGGTTGGGTTTTCTGGTCCCCGGGGGGCAGGTTACTGACTCCTAGGGCATTTCTGGGTGCCGACGCTGGATGGGTCAGCGGACACTCAAGTCTACTTAGAGTGACAGGCTGAGATCGGCTCTGCGGCTGGGGCTCCCCTGGTGACACCCCGCTGGCTCAGGACACTGAGCGCCAGAACAGCATTTACCCGACGTCTGATGTGCTCCCGCCCCAAGTCGGCCCAGCGCTGCCAGGATCTGCAGAGAGAGCCTGGCACCCGTGGCCGGGCTTCCACTGTACATGCGTCGCCCATCTCCCACGCCTGCTCCCCCACCCCCATCTGTAGGACTTTGGAACCCGTCCGCTGCCACGCATTTAATTTTTACCCGAGCGCTTAAGGTTTTTTTTCCTTTGCTACCGGTTGTGACCTTTGGAGGGGGGAGGGGCGGACCTCCGCTGCGCACGTGCCGTGGGTCTGGGCTCCGGAGGTAGGAAGACGCAGCCTGGCCTGGTGAGAGCCGGAGGCACCCTGTCTGCGTGGTGGCTCGGCCTTGAGCTTGTGCAGTGACGAGTGGGGCAGAGGAGGCCCGGAAGGGACGTGCTGACTTGTCCAGACCCTCGCTGTCCGTCGGGGGGACAGCGCTGGGCTGGCCAGACTGGCGTGGGACTGACTGGGAGGCTTAGACCCAGAGCGGT